CCGAATAAGCCTGTAGGTGAAGCTGCCGGTGGTGATGGGAGCCTTGCAAATCATCCAGCGAGCGCAGGCCACTTTGGAGGGCAGAGGGTTTAGGGTTGTTCTTGTGATCTCCCTGAACCCTAAACCCTAAACCCGAACCCCCCCAAACCGAAGAAACCTGAAACTATGAGTAAACCTCTCAACACCCAAACCTAAGCAACCTGAAGCGCTCAAACCCTGATGCCCATGGCCATCCTAAGCCCAGAAACCCGGGTGAAGTGTTTAGGGCTTGGGGGGTTAGGGTTTAGGGTTTGGGGTTCAGGGTTTAGGGTCTAGGGTCTAGGGTGAAGGGTTTAGGGCTTGGGGTAAACCCAGTGCCAGGAATCCGTGCCGGTAGCCGAGTGGACCAAAGGAACTTCGCTCACCTGGCTGCAGCCAGACCAGGTGGGGTTTGGGTTTTGGGTTTCGGGTTTAGGGTTTAGGGTTTAGGAATTAGGAATTAGGGTTTAGGGTTCAGGGTTTTGGGGTTTGGGGCTTCGCGACCCTTTGTTGCCCGCGTGCTTAGTTGGTCTGTTGTTCTGTGGTGGAGATTGTTAGTGTGTTTGGTCTGTAGGGTTTAGGGTTTTCGGTTTGGGGTTTAGGGTTTAGGGTTTACGGTTTAGGGTTAGGGTTTTGGGTTTAGCGCTTAGGGTCTAACGTGCTCTGGGCATGCCAGGACGCAGATGTCCTCGCGCTGCCTGAGAGTGAGCCGGCCTCCCACAATGACGGGGACGAAGGTCAACCCTAAACCCTACACCCTAACCCCTAAGCCCTAAACCCTCAACCTTCAGCCCTAAACCCTAAACCCTAAACCCTATACACCCTAAACCCTAAGCCCTAAGCCCTAGACCCTGAACCCTAAACCAAAAACACTAAACCCTCACCTAGTAGGGTGGAGCTGTGTGCAGTCGAGGGGCTCGAGGGGTTTCAGAGCCCAATTTTCAGGTTTAGGGTTAGCACTTGGGGTTTAGGATTCCCGGGACAGAGGGGTTTGAGGTTCCATGAGGTTGAGGAGGTTTGTCCATTCATTCTTGCCAATGGAGGAGGGGACTCTATTGAATTTAGGGTTCAGGGACCCTGAACCCTGAATCCTAAAGCTTAAGCCCTAACCCACGGGTAATCCTGGGCAAGGTAAGTCAGAGCCTTCGTTTGGGTCGGCATGCCTCGTCGTCTCTCTGCTTGGCCAGACCTCGCATGTACAAAGCTTTGCAGGCACCTGGACATAGCAGAGGAGCCTAAATGCCCTCAACTCTCTTCCAGAAGCTGTGCAGCAGTTAAACCCCTACACCCCAAAGCCTAACCCCTGAACTCCGTTGTTGAGTGACCATGTCCAGCGGGCCTGTGGGATTGCTTGGGTCACTTTGCAGAAATGGCTTTGGGTTTAGGGAGAGCTGCTGGCCATGGGGCTTCTTAGACTTAGGGACTGGGTCGGTAACCTTTAACCTTTCGGGTTATATAGAATCCTACGGTATATAAAGAGGTTAACCAACTTTTTTTGGGCTGGTGTATGCAGCCCCTAAGTAGAAAAATTAGATTCCAGGCTGAGAAAGTTTAGGGCGTACCCTTTTTGTAGTAGGGCAGTCCCTCAGCCCGAAGCACCAATGCAGAGCCACCCCCTCATGAGGGCTTCTTGGGGGGATTTCTGGGAGAGTCGCGAGTTCGGACTGTTTTTAGCTCTTGGAGTTTGGGGTTTGGGGCTTGGGTCACGCTTTGGAGTTGTAGCTGTAGCCGTAAACCCTTAAGCCCTCAACTCCTAAAACAAGCGAAGCCTTTCAACCCTCAACCCTTAAACCCCTAAAAACCCTACCTGAGAGCCTTCCACTCGCAAGTTGCGGAACCAAGCACCCAGCGAGCCAACCCTTGGTGTGGTCAGACATCCCCTTCCTCTTTTCTAGGGTTTTGGGTTAGGGCCCAACTTATGGACATAAGATTTGCTTGTACTCTTTCTACATTAGTGTATTTACTTGTTTTGATTGTGTGTGTGTGTGCGCGGGTGTGTGTGTGTGTGTGTGTGTGTGTGTGTGTGTGTGTGTGTGTGTGTGTGTGTGTGTGTGTGTGTGTGTGTGTGTGTGTGTGTGTGTGTGTGTGTGTGTGTGTGTGTGTGTGTGTGTGTGTGTGTGTGTGTGTGTGTGTGTGTGTGTGTGTGTGTGTGTGTTGTGTGTGTGTGTGTGTTGTGTGTGTGTGTGTGTGTGTGGTGTGTCTGTGTCTGTGTCTGTGTCTGTGTCGTGTGTGTGTGTGGTGTGTGTGTGTGTGTGGTGTGGGTTGCGTGCGTGCGTGCGTGCGTGCGTGCGTGCGTGCGTGCGTGCGTGCGTGCGTGCGTGCGTGCGTGCGTGCGTGCGTGCGTGCGTGCGTGCGTGCGTGCGTGCGTGCGTGCGTGCGTGCGTGCGTGCGTGCGTGCGGGCGTGCGTGCGTGCGTGCGTGCGTGCGTGCGTGCGTGCGTGCGTGCGTGCGTGCGTGCGTGCGTGCGTGCGTGCGTGCGTGCGCGGGTGTGTGTGTGTGTGTGTGTGTGTGTGTGCGTTTTTTTTTGGAGGGGAGGGAGGGGGGGAGGGGCGAGGTCCGAGAATAGGATTTCGGTGCACTGTTTTGGAAACATTTTCTTCGGCTTTAGTTTCTATTGGCTACCCCCATTAGGGTTAAGGGGTTTAGAGTATAGGGTTTAGGGCTTTAGGGCTTAGGGTTACCTGTGAGCTCCCATCCTGACACCCTAAGTCACGATGACAGAAGCACTCTCCCGACCAGCTGAAGGTTGAATGAAAGGGTGAGAGCTTACTCATAGGGTCCCGAGTCTGGGGCAACAGCCCTAAACCCCAAACCCAAACCCCAAACCCCAAACCCTAAACCCTGGACCCGAGACCCTAAACCCTGAACCCACACCCAAAACGCTCAGCCCTAAACCAAAAACCGAAAACATCCCTGAACCCTAAACCCTATAAATTTGAACCCTATAAATCCTAACCCCCTCCGACATGATGGCCTAGGCACACTGTCGTTGCCGAGCACATGTTCCTCCCACCAGAGGTCGCCGTGTGCTTCTTAGGGTTTGTAGCGTTTATCGGGACATTGCCTTTAGTTCTCCTGGGTTTAGGGTTTGGGGTGTAGGGTTGGGGTTTAGGGTTTAGGGTTTAGGGTTTAGGGTTTAGGGTTTAGGGTTTAGGGTTTAGGGTTTAGGGTTTAAGGTTTAGGGTTTAGGGTTTAGGGTTTAGGGTTTAGGGTTTAGGTTTTAGGGTTTAGGGTTTAGGGTTCAGGGTTTAGGATTTTCGGGTGAGTTGTAACTGGGGTGCAAGGCCGTTGTGCCACTGACCCCCAGGGCCTGTCGATGCCGCTGAGCATCGTTGGCTCGCAGACCTGCGGCGTCCAGGCTATCAGGGTTTGGGTTTAGGGTTTGGGGTTTGGGGTTTAGGGTTTGGGGTTTAGGGTTTAGGGTTTAGGGTTTAGGTTTCAGGGATGTTCCCCCTTATGCTGAGAGTCCTTAATAGGGATTATAAATGGGGGCGCGGGGTACTATAGTCCCTCTTAAGGACTGCTAGTATAAGGGGGAACATCCCATTTCATAGGCTTTAGGGCTTGGGGCCTGCGGTTTGGGGTTTACGGTTTGGGGTTTGGCTAAGGTCTTACGGTTTCGGGTTTGGGATTAAGGGTTTGGGGTTTAGGGTTTGGGGCTTGGTGTTTAGGTGCCGAGGGCTTGGGGTTGGCGATTAGGGTCTAGGTTTTGGGGAGGGGAATGGGGATTTGGGGTTTGGGGATTTGAGGTTTAAAGTTGAGGGGCTTGGGCATTTTGAGGTTTGAGGGCTTGGTGTTTGCGGGGGTTCGGGGTAACATCTTTTGTTAATTGGGCTTGAGCATGTTGTAAATTTCGTGATTTGAGATTTAGGAGTTTGGGGTGTGCTTGCAAGCCCTTTTGACTTAGTAGAAGCCCTTTTGACTTAGTATGTAGGGTTAGTAAGGTGGGTCATGGGGATTCTAATGGGGTTTCTAGGGGATACTAAGTAGACCTATTAAGCGAGAATCTAAGTAAGGGCTTGGGATGTTCTTTTGGTTATGGGTTTTATGCGCTGAAGCTTTGAATCCTAGGGCCGTCTACTTATGAGGTTTGGGGTACTTCCATGCATTTGCCTTTCTCCAGAGTTTAGGGCCTAAAGCCCTCCCCTGAATTCGCAACCCCACATTCCTGCAACGTATACCGCTAGACCCTAAACTATACCAACCCTTGACCCCCTTGACGCCGAACGTTTATACAACCCCAGATGATACTGCTCAGGGTTACTGGATACATCCCTAGACCAACCGTAAACCCTAAACCCCCAAAACTCCCCCCCACGACGTGAGTGCCATGGCCTACACCCCAAACCCTGGGCCCTAAACCCCAAAGCCCTCAACTCCACCCCGACTTAAATTCTGAAGAGTTTGGCAACAGAAGGCCCTAAACCCAACACAACAACAACTACTACTGCGACGGCTGCTGCTAGCTATTACTATGAAAAATAATGCTGCTGCTGCTGCTGCTGCTGCTGCTGCTGCTGCTGCTGCTGCTGCTGCTGCTGCTGCTGCTGCTGTGCTGTGCTGCTGCTGTTGTAACCATATGAAGTAGAGTATATATTTCTTGTACCCCCAAAAGGACACCCAAGGTATACACTCACCAATATTAAAACAGGAACCTTATATACGCTCACCAAAAAACAGTAATATAAACCCTGCTTCATATCCTGGCAGTTCGGGCTTCCGAGCTGATTGATGATCGTCGCAATGCATTCCTATCAGCCGCAAGGTGTTCAGCTGCGCAAGGAAGCCCTAAGAGCCCTTGCTTAAGGAAGATGCCCTAAAGTCTACATCTACGGATTCTGAACTCTGATTTTTGGAAGCTTCCCAAAACCCCAAACCCTAAACCCTAACGATATAGGGATCCTGAATTCTTATAGGTACATTCCATTTTGAGGGGGGGTGGTTGGGTAAGGTACTCGACTCAAACCTTTTTGCTAGCTGCCATGGCACGTCGTTGGCTGCCAATCCTGGAAGATGATGAAAAGTGGCAGTCCGAAAGCAACGCCGAGTTGACAGGACAAAAACCCTAAACCCTAACCCTAAACCCTAAACCCTAAACCCTAAACCCTAAACCCTAAACCCTAAACCCTAAACCCTAAAGTCTAAAGCCTAAAGCCTAAAGCCTAAAGCGCAGATGAGGGCATCCGAAGCTAAGGTTGGGGGTTGGGGTCGGCTTACGCTGGGACGTCCATGGCCATGTGGTTCTGAGTGGACTAGGTGAGCCTATTCTATGCCCTGCTAGAGTTTACCCGAGTATACTATGACTATGGTTCACCCTAGCAGAATATTTGCAATATCATTGAAGTCTCCCATGTCCGTGTTTTGCGCTTTTCGGCAGCGTTGCATGGTATGTTAGTCTTAGTATTAGTATGGGTGGGCCTAGGGCCTAGTTGGGCCTTGGGCTTTACGGCTTAGGGGCAAAAATGTTCGGATGTGGTGGGGTTCTTTGGGCGGGTGGGTGTTGGTCGAGAGAATGGCTGGACTAGACTCTTCACGCTCAGAACTGCTGAACCCCAAACCCCAAACCCCAAACCCCAAATCCCAAACCCCAAACCCCAAACCCGAAACCCGAAACCCGAAACCCTAAACCCCAAACCCCAAACCCCAAACCCCAAATCCCAAACCCCAAACCCCAAACCCCAGACCCCAGACCCCAGACCCCAGACCCCAGACCCCAAACCCCAAACCCCAAACCCGTAACAACTTGCAAGGAGAGGTTTTGAGGCTCGCAGAGCTGGGCCCGCTAGGAGACCATCCTGACTTCACCAAATTCGTGGAGCACCTGGACTCTTGAGACAAATTCTGTCATTACTGTGACTATTTTTTGCAGACTTGATCCCTAAACCCTGAACCCTAACCCTAAACCCTCGCACCCATTTGTTTGCGGACGTGAACACCGTACCTTGGGACCCTACGCGGTTCATTTGTGGGAAGTGCTCTATAGAACCACTTAGGACTATCTTCTGCTGCGTCAGAAGGTGGAATCTTCAGACAGCCAGCAGTCTCGCGTGCACGAAAGCCTCCTGAATCCTTTGCCTGCAGGGTTTCCGACTGTGCTTGGCGCAGTTGTGACAGACTATCTGTCTGATCAGTACATTGCTGCGGATGTAGACCAGCGGTGGGGACGAGAGCCTAAGTTGGAGAGGCAACCCCTGCTCATCGAAATGACTCATGCAGACGGCAGTGCTTTGGCATCCTTCCAGCTGCATCTGCCGGCGGATGCCACACCCGGTCGTGTGAGAGAGCTCGTGGCCTCGAAGAAGGATCTTCACAAGCAGGATCTTCACACAAGTCAGATTCGCGTGTTGAAGCAGAACGAGAGACTTCCCGCAGGGCAGCCTTGCATCCGCCTCGAGGTCACAGGGAATCACTTCAAGAGTGAAATGGAAGGCGCGCCTGCACAACCTTTGCGTGCCTTCAACTATTACTCGTAACCAGGCTATCGACATGGCACTAGTTCGGGGTTGTGGTTGTCGGTTTAGGCTGTTAAGGCTTAGGGCTTTCGAGTTTGAGGTATTTTCAGGTTGAGGGTTCAGGGTTTAGGAGTTCCCTTTTCAATTTTTGCGCCCTGCCACTGGCTAGATCCCAAAGGAACCCCAAACCCAAAACCCCAAACCCCAAACCCTAAGCCCTAAACCCTAAGCCCTAAACCCTAAACCCTAAACCCTAAACCCAAAACCCTAAACCTTTGAGCCCTGCGAGGTTGGCCCGAGCACCCGCTCAAGCGTGAGCTTTGCGACTTCATCAACAAGATCGCGAAGATGCGGATGCCCCGGGCGCCAAACCAGAGGCGGCTGGACTGGTGCTACAGGGGTTTGGGGTTAGGGTTCGGGGTTTAGGGTTTAGGGTTTGGGGTTTAGGGTTTAGGACTTAGGGTTTAGGGTTCAGGGTTTAAGAGGATCTTGAGGGAACCCTAAACCCTAATTCGTTGGCAAGTACCATGAACCTCCAGGTAGGGTTTGTAGGGTCTAACCCTAAACCCTCAACCCTAAACCCTAAACCCTAAACCCGAAACCCGAACCCGAAACCCGAAACCCGAAACCCTAAACCCTGCTCAGGTGGGATTCTACGTTCGAGTTTGCCAACCTCGAAGCTTCGCTACACGGAACTCTTTGCGTGCTGGGTGTTCCTAGGTCTCCGCGGTTTGGGGTTTCACTACTTAGTAGGGTTTAGGGTTTAGGGTTTAGGGTTTAGGGTTTAGGGATAGGGTTTAGGATGCCCCTGTACGGGTTCCAGTATACAAAGCGGTAGATGTAGAGTAGATTTAGTGTTAGGGGGGGGGGGGATGACCTAAACCTAAACCCTAAACCCTAAACCCTACACCCTACACCCTAAACCCGAAACCCTAAACCCTAAACCCTAAACCCTAAACCCTAAACCCTAAACCCTAAACCCTAAACCCTCAACCCTAAACCCTAAACCCTAAACCCTAAACCCTAAACCCTAAACCCTAAACCCTAAACCCTAAACCTAAACCCTAAACCCTAAACCCTAAACACCTCTGAGGTGTCTTTGATCACGAAGATCCTTCGGACCTTGGAGGCCCCCACGCGCGGGACGAAGAAGAAGGAGGAGGAGTGCGGAGAGTTTTACAGGGAGCTCCTGACTCCTGGGCTGTTTGAGTATAGGGTTTAGGGTTTAGGGTTGAGGGTTTAGGGTTTAGGGTTGAGGGTACCCAACTGGGAGGTTCATAGTACTTCGTAACCAACTATACCTGTACTTATAGCGCACTTATAAGCCCCTTAAGTGCCGTAATATAGTTCTACGTACAGTTATAAGTACAGTTATCATTTGTTAAGAAGTACCATGAACCTCCGAGTATGGCTTTAGAATCACTTAGTAGGGTTTAGGGTTAGGGTTTCGGGTTTAAGGGGTAGGGGGGGTTGGGGTACTAGGCTCTGCTTTTTTGTATAGTATGCTGTTCTTTCCCAGGTGTATGCAAGTAGCATATGGTACCAGCTTTGCACACACTTTCTGGAGAGCGTTTTGGTTTCTCTAGGGTGTAGGGCGTAGGGCTTAGGGATAGGGCCGGGGGGGGTGTTAGAGGTTTGCGCCTCAGGTGGGTCCCCCGGCATGTGTGCACCCTAAACAGAATGCCAGCCTCCGCCTTTTCCCGTCTCTATGTATTCAGTTCCCTAAATTCGGGTCCCTTTTTGGGTACCCTACAATAGGGTCCGCCTATGATAAGGACCGCAAAAGGGCCAATATTTTAGAGAAGCGACCATGTTTTTTTAGGGGGCGAAAATACTGAGTACATTGGGATGTTCTCCCTATACTAACACTTCTTAATAAGGATTATCGTACCCCCGATTAAATTCTCGATTAAGGACTGCTAGTATAAGGGGGAACATCCCAAGGAGTACATTAGTAATCTCAGCTGTGAAGGACCGAGGCATGTTTGTACGAAACGCCCGAGTCGCATGCATCATGCATGTAAGCGGCTCGGGGGTTTAAGGGTTTAGGGTCTTGGATTTAGGGTTTGGGGTGTAGGGTTTGGGGGGCGTAGGGTTTCGGGTTTCGGGTGTGTAGAGTTTGGGGGGTTTAGGGTTTAGGGCTTAGGGGGTTTCGGGCTGAAGGGTTCAGGGGGTTTAGGGTTTAAGGTTTGGTGTTCAGGGGGTTTAGGGCTTACGGTTTGGGGTTCATGGGGTTTAGGGTTTAAGGTTTAGTTTGCTCCCTGTGGAGACACACGCCTTTTGCTGACCTTGAAACCACCCTAGGCCCTAAACCCTAAACCCTAAGCCCTAAACCACCCTAAACCCTAAACTTTACCAGAATGGCAGTTCCAAGTAGCATCTACGAGGAGGGAGTCGGATCGAAGGGCAGCCTTTGCAAATCCAAACTTCTTCTAGACATTCCAGAAAGAATGTTTGGGGTTTGTTTAGGGTTCAGGGTTTAGGGCTTCGGGTGTTTTGGGGGGCTTTCGGGTTTGAGGGTTTTCGGTTTAGGGGTCAGGGTTTTAGAGTTTAAGGTTTAGGGTCTTCAACTCTGGAGTCTTAAACTCTAGACCCATAGATTCGAAACCCTCACCCCCGACACACATCCCAAGGAATACGCTGAGCTCCCACATGGATATGGACAGTGCGATCAAGCCAACGCCGGCGAGCCTTTTGGAGAATCTGAGGGCCGAATGGGAGTAGATTTTGCTAGAGACCAGAGAGCCCAGCACGATTGCGTTCCCCTACTGCCACCCTTCCAGACCCTACACCCCCCCCCCCCCCCCCCCCCCCCCCCCCCCCCCCCCCCCCCCCCCCCCGGTTCCCCCCTTTAAATCGGCTTAAGTATCCCGAAAAAAACCTTCATGTAGGGGGGGTACAAAAGAGGGGTGGTAGTAGTAGTAGTAGTAGTAGTAGTAGTAGTAGTAGTAGTAGTAGTAGTAGTAGTAGTAGTAGTAGTAGTAGTAGTAGTAGTAGTAGTAGTAGTAGTAGTAGTAGTAGTAGTAGTAGTAGGAGGAGTGGGGAACCCATGAAGCAACCCTGAATCAAGGAGTATCGGCAAACACGGCAATTGAGAACAACAACAACTACCACGACTACCACAAGCACTACTACCTTTACCATAAGCTACCACTTCTACTACCCTAAGCCCTAAGCCCTAAGCCCTAAGCCCTAAGCCCTAAGCCCTAAGCCCTCAGCCCTCAGCCCTAAGCCCTCGAAGCCCTAAGCCCTAAGCCCGAAGCCTGAAGCCAGAAGCCCTAAGCGCGAAGCCCGAAGCCCGAAGCCGAGAAGTCCGAAGCCGAGAAGCCCGAAGCCCGAAGCCCGAAGCCCGAAGCCCTATCCTTAGATTCAGGGCTTAGGGCTTAGGCTCGCAAGTTGAAGACGTTGGGCTCCCTGACAACAAGCAGGCATGTAGTACCAGACCTGTTTCTTGGCCTCCAGTTCAACTTTGTCATGGGAACATCGCTGGATCACCCTAAACCCTAAAACCCTAAACCATAGCAAGTTCAGCTTAGGGTCATTGAAAAAGCCCCTGTGTGTGCCCTGAAGCCCTGAACACCCAAAGCCCTAAAGTCCGACAGCCCTAAACTCTAACCCTAAACCTTAAACCCTAAACCCTAAACCCTAAACCCTAAACCCTAAACCCTAAACCCCGGCCATGAAGAAGCTTGGCCCTGAGCAGGTTAGGGTTTAGGGTTTAGGGTTTAGGGTTTAGGGTTTAGGGTTTAGGGTTCAGGGTTCAGGGTTCAGGGTTCAGGGTTCAGGGTTCAGGGTTCAGGGACATACTTGTTTCACATGCGCAGAGCACTCGCTCAGGGCTTACACGGAGCTCCCGGGTCGGGTTCGCAGATGGAAAAATGCAGGTTAGGGTTTAGGGTTGAGGGACACACTATCTTAAAAGCCTAGCCTAGGCTGTACTGTAGAGCATTACAGTTATCTTTTGTGTTCGCCTGGTTTGCTATTGTGAATTGCAGTGCTGAGTCGTATCTCAGCAGCTGCACGCTGCAGATTTGGTATCGCAGGTCTTTAAACGAGCATTCGCTTAGAGCGTCGACGTCAGCATTTTATGTTGATGCTGTTGGTTTAACAAGCTAATTTGGAGAGGAGATGAACTCAGCCTAGTAAAGGCAGTAGCAACAGTAACATAACCGTATCAGTAGCCAGTTCTTGTCTAACCATTTAAGACATTGGTATTCGTGGTTCTGATCGGGTTCAGAGTTTGGAGTGTTAGGGCTTTTGGGTTTTGGGGTTTGAGGGCTTTTAGGGGTCTAGCGTTTAGGGTGTAGGGTTTAGGTTTAGGGTTTGTCGGAATTACGCCCGACCCTGGGGAGTAGCGCATGAACTTCCAACTAGCCTAGAACTACCACTGCTCGTGCGACTTAGAAGCACCCCAACGAGAAGCTGTGCGAATTTCTCCCGAAAGATTGTCCGGTAATTACAACGGATGCAGTGATAGGCCTAAGGCACGCACCCCGGACCCACAAGCCTGCACCCTAACCTTAAAAATCCTGAACCCCGCACCCTGAATCTTTCACCCGACACGCTGAACCTACCCTCAACCGCCTACACCCTAAATTCAGACCCTAAGCTCTACAAAACCCCTAAATCCTAAACCCTAAATCCCTAAACCCTAAACCCTAAGCCCCTCAACCCTCAACCCTAAACCCTAAAAACTGAGCCCCTAAACCCTAAACCCTAAACCCTGAACTGGAAGGTGCAATGTTTAGGTGCGGTGCTTAGGGTTTAAGGTAGTTCAGGGCTTAGGTCTTACGAAGCCCCACATTTAAACCCTAAACCCTCAACCCTAAACTCTAGCCCTAAACCCTAAACCCCCAACCCTAAACCCGAAGCCCTGGACAGATGGAGCTGCCCATGGACTGCCTCCGCTTCGTGTGCGCCGCCGCACCGGGCACCAGGGCGCCGCAGGAGGGCGAGGAGGCCGCCCGGGTAGCAGCCGCAGATGTTAGGGTTTAGGGTTTAGGGGTTAATTTAGGGTTTAGGGTTTAGGGTTTAGTGTTTAGGGTTGGGGGGTTGGGGGTTTAGGGTTTAGGGCAAACCCAAAACCCGAAGCCCCGAAGAGGATTGAGGGTTTGGGCCTGCGTACTTCCGGGGCCCTAGTTAATAGGGTTTATGGGGTTTACAGGGTTTATAGGGTGATCGGGATATAGGTATAGGGTTCATAGGGTTTATAGGGATTATAGTGATTTCGGGACTATAGAGGGTCACATAGGGGGTATAGGGTTTATAGTTTTTGTAGGGTTTACAGGGTTTACAGCCTAACCCTAAGCCCTAAACCCTAACCCCTAAGCCCTAAACCCTAGCCCTTTGAACTCTGAAGCCTAGGCCTGAAACCCGAAACCCGAAACCCGAAACCCGAAACCCTAAACCCTAAACCCTAAACCCTAAACACTAAACCCTAAAGCCTAAACCCTAAACCCTAAACCCTGAACCCTAAACCCTAAACCCCCTAACTCCTTTGAGATGGAGGCCCTCGCCGACCTTTGGCTGGTGGGTGGCGCCCGGGTTCTCAGTTCCTTAGGGACTCAGGGGCCTAGGGCCAGGTTTAGGGTTTAGGGTTTAGGGTTTAGGGTTTAGGGTTTAGGGGTTTAGGGGTTTAGGGTTTAGGGGTTTAGGGTTTAGGGTTTAGGGTTTAGGGCCGTAGGGTTTAGGGCCATAGGGTTTAGGGTTTAGGGTTTACATGGTTTAGGGTATTAGGGTTTTGGGTTTCAGGGTTTAGGGTTGCAGGGTTTGGGGCCAGAGTTCCTAGATCCTCAGCCGCACAGGAATAGGCAGGATGTTGGCGAATTCCTGGTTGAGGGTTTAGGGTTTAGGGTTTAGGGCTTTCGCGCCCAAGATCCCAATGCTAAACCCAAAACCCTGAACCCTGAACCCTCAACCCTCAACCCTCCACAGTTCCCTTCGTAAGGGCTTCTGGCTCAGGCCCTTCTGTCTTTTGTCACGTTTGCCAACTTTTCCATGCCAGCTTGATGAAACGAAATCCTTCTTTTTGGTGAACTTGTGTGCTCCGTTTTGTGCTGGTAGAGTAATGTTGGTTTGCCTCGTTCAAAGACCATCCATGGATATCACCGCCATTCGGTTAAACTAGGCAGCTATGAATGAGCAATTGCATGCATATGGGGGTTTACGAAAATAGGGGAGCCCTTGAACAGACCTCCCAACATAGTAGGATTCCCTTAAAATTAAGGACCCTAGTAAGGCACCCCCATATTTCGGACACCGCCATGTGTGTACACATAGAAGTCCACACTTGACTGTTCAGATGAGAAGCACGAGTCCTCTGACAAGAGGAAGTTCCTAGGGTTTAGGGTTTAGGGTTTAGGGTTTAGGGTTCAGGAACAACCCTTCCCCCCCCCCCCCCCCCACGTATCGAAGCCCGAGGACCTTGCGGCCTGGCGTGGCAGCCGATGGGCGCCGCCCGTCGATGCCGAGGCTCGCTTCGTGGCCAAACCTCAAAGCCGAAGCCCAAAACCTTGAACATGTAGGGCCCTTATAACTGATAAACTCTAAACCCTAAACCCTTATCACCCGCCACAAACCACCAAGCCGCTGCCCACGGTTACGGTTTAGACTCTAAGCCCCATGAAAACTCTTGTAACCCAAAAAAAGCCCGAAGCCCCGGTTCGGGTTTGGAGCCTCAGCCTAAACCCTAAACCCTAAACCCTAAACCCTAAACCCTAAACCCTAAACCCTAAACCCTAAACCCTAAACCCCAAACCCTAAACCCTAAACCCTAAACCCTAAACCCCTAAAATGTAGGTTTGGCTCTGGGACGGCGAGCTCCAGAGCAGTTCCTGGGGCAGCCTACGCGTCTCTGCCGGGGTGCGCACCTCGAAGTTGGAGGGGAGGTTCGGGTTTAGGGTTTAGGGTTTAGGGTTTAGGGTTTAGGGTTTAGGGTTTAGGGTTTGGGGTTTGGGGTTTGGGGTTTAGGGTTTGGGGTTTGGGGTTTAGGGTTTAGGGTTTGGGGTTTGGGGTTTAGGGATTAGGGTAAAGGGTATTTAGGGTTTGGGGTTTGGGGTTTAGGGTTTGGGGTTTGGGGTTGGGGGTTTGGGGTTGGGGGTTTGGGGTTTGGGGTTTAGGTTTAGCGGTTTAGGGTTGCGGGTTGAGGGTTTAGGGTTTTAACCTAAACTGGGCGTTTAGGGGTCTAGGGCTTAGGTTCGAGGCTTCAGGACCAGAAGTTTTCTGAGTTGTGCGTTGGGATGGTCGGAGACGCATGAGTTACCCTTGAGCATCTTTGTATGGGAATCCACTCATAGCTTACACCGGTCTGAAAAGCGCTAGACCCAGTTTAGGTTGAGCTTCAGAGATCCCTAAGCCCTAAACCCCAAAACCCCCAAAAGGAATCAGAGACTTTCTTCAGTGTTTTGGTGTCCCGGCTTTGAGGTGCAGGTGCCTTTTCCAAAAAGTGTTTGGGGTCACTCGGGTTTAGGGTTTAGGATTTAGGGCTTGAGTTCTGACACGCTCTATCCCTACACCCTCTAACCCTACACCCGAAGCACCCTTAGCCGCAAGCGGGTTAGACCCTGACTCTTACACCCTGAAAAGGTATTTATCCGCTAAAGGGTCATGCAGGCAAAAAGCCTTAACACACAACCACCCAAAACCCTCAAAAAAAGAACCAAAAAGTCCCAAAATACCTACACTCTAAACCCCGCAAAACCACAAACACCCCAACACAAAAGCAA